GGGGGGGGGGGGACTTGCCTTCTCTCCCCGGGCGCTCGGCCGACCTGGCGCAGGAGAATCAGCAAAGCTTCCCCTTCCAGCACCGAGGACGGACGGATGGATGGACGGACGGACGTCCTCTGTCCCTCCTGGGCTTCCCAACCACTGAAGTTACATCACAAAAAAGTCTCAACCTATAAACTCTGCAGTGACATGATGACCCTCATCATCTCATCTCATGTAACATGATCTCACCAGTTCATGTACATGATCACCACATATGTATCATGATGATCTCCTGATCAACTCATGTGTCATGATGAATTCATCATCTCGTCTCATGTAACGTGATCTCATCATCTCATGTAATGTGTTATCACCATCACCTCCTGATGACCTCATGTATTTATATTTAAGTGTTTCCATCCACTGAATCATCATTTTCCGATGCTCGAGCTGCCCCAGCTTAGATCAGTGGGGACTCATGTTGATCTAATGAAGGGGGTTTTTGTTGTTGTTTTTTAATCCTCACCTGAGGATATTTTTTCGTTGATTTTTTTTTTTTTTTTAGAGAGACTGAAGGGAGGGGGAGAGACAGAGAGAGAGAAACATCGATGTGAGAGAGATACATCAATTGTTTGCTTCCCGTTTGCACCCTGATCAGGACAGGGATCAAGCCTGTAACCTAAGTATGTGCCCTTGACCGGAATCGAACCCGGGACCCTTTAGTCCGAGGGCCGATGCTCTATCCACTGAGCCACACCAGCTCAGACTCTAGTTGAGATTTCAAACACGAATTTCTCTTCTTGCAAACAAACGTGAGGTTCTTAATAAAGACCGCAGCCCAGAGTCTGTGCGGGGCTTCCCGACAGGCACGGCCACGAGAACAGCAACCCCAAACCCGCACGCATCCCCGACCGCCTCCCCCAACCCCCCCGCCGGAGGCTTCCCTCCGGAGAACAGAACGCAGCGGAGCGCCTGTGTTTCTCCTTCGCCAAAACCAAATTTAACACAGGAACCTAAAATAAGCAGCTTGGGA